AAAGAGACCACCAAACAGGCTTTGTGTGAGCAACATGGCTGTTTATTTCACCTGGGTGCAGGCGGGCTGAGTCCGAAGAGAGTCAGCGAAGGGAGATAAGGGTGGGGCCATTTTATAGGATTTGGGTAGGTAAAGGAAAATTACAGTCAAAGGGGTGTTGTTCTCTGGCAGGCAGGAGTGGGGGTCACAAGGTGATCAGTGGGGGAGCTTTTTGAGCCAGGATTAGCCAGGAAAAGGAACTTCACAAGATAATATCATTGCTTAAGGCAAGGGCTGGCCATTTTCACTTCTTTTGTGGTGGAATGTCATCAGTTACTGCAAGGCAGGGCATTTGCACTTCTTTTGTGATTCTTCAGTTACTTCAGGCCATCTGGGCGTGTATACACGTGCAAGTCACAGGGGATGCGATGGTTTGGCTTGGGCTCAGAGGCCTGACAGGTGCACAGAGCTAGGACCCCACCCCCTCCTGGCCTGGACCACCCTGGGCCATCTCCCCAGCTTGACACTCTCAGGCCAGAGGCTGTCAGGCCAGGGCGCTTTGACTATCCCCTGCATGCCCCTGAAGGGGGCCAAGCCCGAGGACTTAGCCAAGCCCTGCAGCCTAAGGCTTGGCGTGCAGCCCAGCCTTTCTTTAGCCTTAGCTAGGAGCGAGCAAGCGCTGCAGCAGCCGCAGTCCTTGCTTCCGGGGAAGGCCCGGGTGGGGCCAGGGCCTGTGGTTTAAGTCAGTGGCCCTCTGCAGACGCGCACGCAGGAGCCACGCCCTGGTCCCTGCCCTGGAGTGGCCTGGTCTCTCCCAGCTCTGATTCCTTGAAGGACCCTGCACCTCCTCAGCCATCTTCTCTGGGCACCCCCTGAGCCCAGCCTGCTGGCCACAGGCCCCTTCCCGCCAACTCGTGGGCCTAGCTCATCATCAAACTATTTTCCATTGGCTTCCCCCAATCTCTGCCACAGCACAATTTCGGTGGTGGCGGGGCAGGGGGAGGTGGAGAGGGATGAAGAATAGGAGGTGGAGCTTGGACCCTCGTGGGGGGGCGGCAGATGGCCACTCTGATTGGTCACCTCTGCTCCAGAACTGACTTCAAAATTCCACGGACTCCGCCCTCGGTGGCCCCCAGCCCTGTCCTGACTTGCAATTGGCTGAACTTCCAGGGGGCGGGGCTCACCCGGTCCGGTCCCGTTAAAAGGGTGGGAGCGTCCGGGGGGCCCATCTCTCTCGGGTGGAGTCTTCTAACAGCTGGTGCGCCTCTCCTGGCAACATCCTCCTGGCCTCAATCATGGCTTGTGTGAGTGTGGGGACCCCACCCCAAGGTCCAGGGGATAGGGCAGGAGCTGATGGCCGTAGGAGAGCTGGGCAGATCGGGAGCAGGGTTCTAGCCCCAGCTGTGTGGCCTGGAACCACTGCCTTCTCTTTTCTAGACCTCAGTGGCCACATCTGTAAAATGGGGGTGGGCGCCACGGTCCCTCAAGGCCTTCTCTGCATTGATAATTGTTTGGATTCCTCCAGGGTCTGAAAGCACAGTTATTTCTGCCCAGGGTTTACATTCTGCAGCTCTCTGAGTAGTGAGCGTGGGAAGGGTGTGGCCAACTGGGGGACACCCAGGCCACTATATCTTTCCCCCTCCTCCACCCCAAAGAGCCTCCTGTCCCCTCCCCCCTGCAGCTGTCCCAGTCACCAGGCCCGGGCAGAGTCACCCTCTGCTCCAGAATATGCTGAAAAGTCGCCAGGACCCGAGACAGGCTGCCCAGGATAGGCCTTTCTAGGTCGGGGGTGGAGGGTGGTTGTGTCCAGGCTGGTGGGAGGGAGGGGAGCCGGGGAAATTCCCTTCCACCACCCCCAAGCTGGGAGGTTGGGGTGGCAGGGAGGTGAGAATCTTCCTCGGGCCCCAGGGAAAGGGTTCAAGTTTCTGACAGAAGAAACCACTCAAATCAGTTAACTCTTGCCCACCCACTCGGGGTGCCAGGGAGCAGCAGTGCGCAGCAGTTTGCTCAATCTTGTTAACCCTGAACCAGCCTGGCCACAGCCCGACTGCAGGCCACTCCCTAATGCAGAGGGGCCGTGTTCTTCAGGGTCTCCTCTCTAGCCCCTGGGCCTCTTCGCAGAGAGGAGCTTGAAGGAGAATAGTAGTGTCCCCCTAGCCACTTCCTCTCCAGCAGAGGGGTCGACCCCTGCATTCAGTGTGACTGTGGGCCAACTGCCTGCCCCTCCCCAGCCTGATCCTCTCTATCTGCGATGGGACAGAGCACCCCACCTCCCAAGCCACTCTTGAGTTCAAAATCCCCAGGCCAATCTGCAAAATCTTCTAGAGCCTGTCTTCTAGAACCTGATTCACTTTACAGACTGAAGCCAACCCCGTTGGGAATAGGGACTTTTCCAGGACCACACAGAGAATCAGAGGCTAGAAATCACAGCCCCATCCTGTCCCCAGGCTTCCCCTTGGCTTGGTCAGAGGATGCCGGGCGGGAACAACCCCACTCCCACCCCCAGCCACCCCCGGACACTTCGGGTAGTGGAGGCCTTGTCCTCTAACCCGCTGGGCCGGGGCTTGTCTGTGCAGGGTCTGGTCGCCAGCAACCTGAATCTCAAACCTGGAGAGTGCCTCCGAGTGCGGGGCGAGGTGGCCCCCGACGCCAAGAGGTGAGAGGTGAAGTCAGGGTGGTGGGCGGCAGGGATGGGGGCTTGGTCCAGCCGAGAGGGCGTGGCCGGCCAAGTCCACGTCTCCTCCCTGGCCGAGAGTGGGTTAACGGCCGGCCGACGTTGCTGCGCTTTCTGGGTGACTCACTTCCCCCGCGGGGTCTGGGCGCCCCCACCATTGCCGCCCCCTCCCCCGCTCCCTCCCTGCTGTAGCCTCTTAAACTACAACAGCTGCAGCCTCGTCATCTATAATACCTTGGTTCCCCCGCCCCCACCCCTTTCCGGTCTGGGCGGGGCCTGCATCTGGGGAGGGCGGGGAGAAGAGTGAGGCGGGAGTCACCGCCGCCTTCCCTCTGAGTCCCTCCCTCCTGCGTCAGGTCATTCATTCACTGGCTCAGTCCTGTCCTTCTTCCTTCACTCCTCGTTCACTCAGCCGGCTGCTTTATTTTCTCAGCAGTTATGTGACCTTGGACCAGTCAACCAACCTCACCTAGCCTCATTTTGTTAGAAAAACAAGGCGGGGAGGTGGTTGTGTGGAGGAAGTGAGATGCGGATGGTGTAGTGATGATGAGGAGGGTGAGGATCGGCTGATATTGTTAAGAGCCGTACACTTCTCATGCACTAATTTCATTGCAACCAAACCCTCAGAGGCAGGTATAGCTATTATCACCACTAAACAAATGCATTTATTATTTTATTTTTTGAGATGGAGTCTCACCCTGTCGTCCAGGCTGGAGTGCAATGGCTTGATCTCGGCTCACCACAACCTCCATCTCCTGGGTTCAAACGATTCTCCTGCCTCAGCCTCCCGAGTAGCTGGGACTACAGGTGCCTACCACCACGCCCAGCTAATTTTTGTACTTTTAGTAGAGATGGGGCTTCATCATGTTGGCCAGGCTGGTCTCGAACCCCTGACCTCATGATCTGCCCACCTCGGCCTCCCAAAGTGCTGGGGTTACAGGAGTGAGCCACCGTGCCCAGGAGTATTATTATTTGTTAATTCACCCCATAATTACTAAGCATCTCCTTCTGGTGTGCCCCACTTGTGCTGGGCACCAGGAACACAGAGATGTACAAGACAGGACGGAAAGTTGCCATCTGGAGGAAGTCTCTGACCTTGACCAAAAGGGCTAGGATGCTAGTGACTTCAAGAATCTAGCAAGTCTTGGCCGGGCGCGGTGGCTCAAGCCTGTAATTCCAGCACTTTGGGAGGCCGAGACGGGCGGATCACGAGGTCAGGAGATCGAGACCATCCTGGCTAACACGGTGAA